TAATTAATATTTTATTGCTTTAAGGAAATTTTAGCCATCACAATGTGGAAAAAGTATCTCACAAAGAATCAAAGACTTGTTCAACACGGAAACATACACATTTTGTATCTTTTCATCGTGTATCAGAACAGTCCGTCGGCCATGACGTGCAGGTATATTCATTATTATAGTAACTTAATCGTTTCTTAAGCGATGGTTCTATTAGGACACCATAGTTATTCATTATTTTAAGAATATTTAAATCTTTATGCACGTTTTTTATTATACGGCTTTTATATATATTGCAACAAGAGATGAAAGTTAAGATCTATAAATTAATCCATCGATCCAAGGGTATAATTATAGTGAGTGAACAGGCGAACTTCAAAATAAGTTTACATTTTGTCATAATACATTTTAATATATCATAATTTACTTCTTTTGATTGATAAATAACTCACATAACCCAAGGAAATTTTCGGTAAATATCAATCAGAATATACCTGTAACGTTCAATTTTTAGAAAGATTTACATTTTATCTAAAACATTTTCCAGTGTTAACTGTTGGTCAGTTACCATTATAAAAGTCAATGTTTTGAAGTATATAGTCAATACAGCTCTTCTAGACAATGAAAAATTGATCCTAATGCCATTTTAAAAACAACAACAACAATGAACCAGTTCTTGGCCAAATATTCGAATGTGTAAGTCTTTAAATATGTGAAAGAGCGTTTTAAAGTATTAAAATGTATTCCTATTCAAACTTGCTTTCCGTATAAATTTTCTTTCCTTAGAATATGTAATATAATTATAGTCTATGTAAAGTTCCCCAAAATTATAAATTGCTCATATCAAAAACTGTTATGGCTTTACGATTTCATCACTCCCAAAAGATCAGAGTTACTGTACCTTTTGCTCATTTCCAGGCGCGAGATGCCTTCGCTGTGATTTCCACGCAAGCTACGGAATATATGAAATATAAAAACATTACTCCAAACAAGCCAACTGCACCATCCAAAGAAACTCGCAAATCACGTGACAGTTTACATGAATATCTGGAGATGACTGATACACTTACAAACTGTTCGTCACGCTCTGACAGGCATACTATCACCAGGGTCGGTAGCTACGGAAGTTTATCCTCTCAGAGGATGTCAGGAATCTCGGGACCAAAGTGTCCGACCTGCGGGTCAACGCTCGAACCCGGAGCCTCGATATTTTCAGAAATCAACGATTGATTGTCAGAAATTTATTCCGGTTAAGCAAGACAATTATGATCAAAAATTTGTATCTAATTCTACTTGCAAATATAGAATTACAAATTTAGCGGAAGCTTGATGATCAATCAATGTAAATGTGAAAATATAAATGAAATGCGGAACTAGTTTCTTGGAATAAACAAGATATAAGCAGTTGACATGCTTTGTACAAAAACATGTTTGAAAACCAGGCCAATACACATATATGTAAAAAATATCATTAAAGTTATATGCCTAGTCTCTGACGAATACGCAGTTGAAGTTATTGTGGTAATTTTAATAATGTGTAGGTGAAATCAGTGTACATGTCAACTTTATATCAATTGTCCAATACTAAGTGCGTATGTGAATTATTTAAGAAAAAGGACCATATGCCAAAACGCATTTATGAGGCAAGCACGTAATTACGCATCGTCGGATACCCACGGCCGAACCATTAACATTTATCAGCCGTGGGATTTTTTGCCGATATTCAGTCGATTAGAGATGTGTCAAACGCAGCTATTTCATTTGCTGCCTCACGATTTCATGAGGCGATTAAAACCAATCAAAACGCTCGTTCTGTACGACGTTTGGTATTACAGACAATATTGCGACAACCATAGACGACGTGAACAGTTCAACATCGAAAAATTAAACGATTTCGAGCAAGAAAGTATAGATAATTTACTTTTAAAGCGTGATGTTTTCCTTTCTGATTGATATCTGCTTTGTTAGGCCACATGTGTCACAAATCACATTCGTCACAAGTTTTTATGAATTTGTGACGAATGTGATCACATTCGTCACAAATGACTTTTGTGACGAATGTGATTGACCAAAATCGGGTAAAAATGCCAATCACAAACGTCACAAGCAAAATTGAGAATTTTTAAACAGGCGAATCACAAATGTCACAAGTTTATTTTTCAATATGTGATACACGGAATATCATAAGGACAATCGTGGTTATAACTTTATTGAGATACACGGACATATTTTTTTGTTTTTCTATAGTTATCTAGAACATATAATTGTGTCGTGCCACGCAAAAACCAAACTTTGTTGACTTTCGCTGGACATGACTCAATAATGATTTACTTTTGAAATATTGCTGAAGTAAAATAAATGCCAGTTTTATTTTGTTTTATTTTCTTAATAAATGTTAGAATTAGATCCTCACAAAAATGGCCGATTTAAAATATTACGCACTTTTCACAAATTAGTAAAAACATGACTATAACCGAAGATAAATTGAAGCTCATGTATGCAAAGGTGGAAAATCGAACTTTATTAATTTTGATGTCAAACATGTTAAAATAAATTTCGGAAATAGATGCAGTACGCAATTTTGAGACACTTTAATGTATGGAATAATGACGGGGAGTTGTGTCGTGAAGTCCATAAAGAAGGGATAAAAAGTTGGCCGCTTTCTATTGAACAAAATCTATTAATGATATTCAGTCTTTTCATATACTGCACCTTGGTTTTAATGTGTTGGTTGATCACGCGGGAAGCTAGAACTACTAGTAAGCCAAGACAGAAAAAACCTATATAAGGAGCGAGTGAAGCTGTTTTAGTATTCATTCTATTTTTACGATGTTCCGTTTCAAACAAAAGTATTTTAGTTCGACTTTTCCAAGAAAAGGAGAGCTTACCTACTCATTGTCGTTAATATAAGCTAAACGGAATGTTCAGATTTATTTTCGTTTCACTTGTTTCTCCACAACTGAAGCTGTTCACTTAAAACTTCACATATGTGTATGAGGTGAACGTGAAAGGTCACATCCCAAGTTCCATAACTCTGTCATGTATTTTGACTGAATAGTGTCTCTTTTTCGACTTAGAAAGTCAGTGTTTAGTTTTTGCGTGTAACTTTTATCTCTACAACAACAGAAGATATTGACTTGAAGTCACACACCAAGATTCATAATCTTCCATTTTGACTGAATTATTTCCCTTGTTCTGCGTTTAGTTTTTCTTGTAACTAGTACAACCACAAAAGATATTAACACATGTGTTCGGGATGAAAATGTTAGCTAACATACCAATACCCATAACATTACCCAATTTTTCCAATTATTAACCTCTGTGTTGAGTTTTTTCTGTAACTAGTATCTAAAGATATTCACATGAAACTCGGTATTATGTGTCTCGTATTTGGATGTTATAACACGAAAAAACATGCGTTATCCCTATATTGAAAATGAAAAGCAAAACATAAATTAGCAATAAAAAGGTTATAGAACAGGGTGCCGTTTTATCAACAAAGACGGTCGTAACTGCGATCTTATCTTACGACCGATACTTACGACCGAGCTTACGATTTCCTCATGACCGTTTTATGAACACGGTCGTACGCCCTCAGTCGCAGCTAAGACCATTTTCGGTCGTACGACCGTATAAACACATTAAACAGTAACCATACAGTCGAAAGTACGTTTCCGGGTCACGTGATTTCCCGCGCACCTGTCAATGTCAACATGACTGCATAAAGTCACGTGATTTCCCGCGCGAATGTCAAAGTCGTCTGACAATATGGCTGACACAAAAACAAAAACACGTAAGGCAAACTGGGCCGATTCCGAGATCATTTGTTTGGTCTCGGAATGTACAGACAATGTAAAACTTATAACTGGAAAACACGGTCTTGTGTCTGAAAACGACAAGACGGTTTTTTGGAGAAATCTTTGTGAGAGGTATATATATATTTTTTTTTAAATAATCCCCTGAAGCATCTCTGCATTAAGTTAATTTGATCATTATAAATACTCATGTCCAAGTAGGTTAAACCATGTATATGCCCTATACATCATGATATTACAACTATATACACATGTAGATTGCATACCAGGGATTTTTTCCAAGATTTTGGGAACACGACTCATACCATGGAATTGGGAATTTCAACGGTGTTTTGTTAAAAATTGAGAAAAATGCATGACAGAAATTTTGCAGTGATTAAATTGTGCAAACAATTACTATGATGGTATCTTCAAAGATTGAAACAGTAATAGATATACAGTGAAGAAGCCCTTATTTGCATAGATTTTAGAATTTTTATTCAATATTTTTATTTTGTAACTTTCAATGGGGAATTTTTTCCAGTGGATTGGGAAAATAATATACTATTTTCAATTGGGAATATGACCCAGTTATGGCTATAAGATAAGCAGAAAAGAATCCCTGCATACTGTTTATTTTAGCATAATAATTAAATGACTGAAATTTTATACTATCTACTGGTGGTCTTGATTTATGTCCAAAATTATTTTAACACTGCATGCTTGAATAAAGTCTTAATTATTATTATTATTATTCAGAATAAATAGCATAGGAGGGTGTGGAAGGTCAGTGGAGGAGGTGGTGAAGAAATGGAAAGATTTAAAGGTTTTGTTATTTATTTTTTTCAATATTACAATTTGTATTTATTATGAATCAAAATAGCAAGTGTTTAATTACTGCAAAAAAATGTTGAGATACAAATAACTTACAATCTGTAGTAGATAATTATACATGTTATTTTACACTTTATTTGGAGTACAAATAAAAACATGAAAAATGATTGCATCCATCTTTACTTTAAAGGTTTTGTAATTCTTGGATATAAATCCAAATGTATTGTTAATTTTGCTGTTGTTTTTCCATGTAGAGCCAGACTAAAAAGAAGGAACAAATGAGGAGGAGGGACATTTCAAGAACTGGGGGAGGAGAGACAAGTAATTCCTTAAGGGAATGGGAAGAGAAGGTAGAACACAAAGCTATAAAAAAATCTATCTAAACACAAACAATTCTGTTTTACTACTCTAAATTCTGTCAGTCAGAAAATACTTTTTGTAAATTGATGACATCTTTAAAAGGCCTGTATAAAACTATGAAATTGAATAAATTGTCTGTACATGTAATTTATACTGACTGATAATATTGAAGTGTACTTTACAGCAGATACCTGCTTAAGGGATGGTTAATTGTTTCATTGGATATTCTTCAGTTAACATCATAAGATAATGAGCATATAATTATATGGCAGACATTTGACACTTCATGATATCAGCAAAACATATGAATTTCTTTTATCTATGTCATATCTATAACCACCAGCCTTCATTACAGATAATAACAATAATACCTGATGATGTTTTGCATGGAATAGCAGGCGGAGAAGATATTTTTCAAAGAAATGAGAAAGGTAAAGAATTTGTTGAAAGAACAAAAATAGTAAATTGTTTAAAATCATTAATAATGATGAAATTTAAAAGGGTAAATTTAATATTTATAATAATCAAACCATGTGCATACAATTCTTAAATTGCCAGTTGCCTCCATAATATATATCCTTATTTCTATTTACAAATTAAATAAAACTTAAATAAAACATTTCAACCAAGAAAAGCACTGTTCTCTGCATTTAAAATGAAAGTAGTTGACATGTTGTGTATTTAGGGGAAGCTGGTAGTAGTTCTGGTGGAAGTGTAGAGACTGTATTAAATGTTGGAAGAGAGGAGGTAGTGCTTGTCCATGAAGATAATGTTAATGTTCAGGTAATTAACATACTAAAATTGTATTGAAACCTTGTTTAAATACCTCTATTATTACTAGTTACATTCTCAATAACTACTATAATTATCATTGTTAACATTGAAAAAAGAAGCAACAGATTTGATGTGCAATGAAAAGAAAAACTTATACTATTTGAAAAGGTCTTCAAATGTTGTAGGTTGAAATCAATCCAATGCAAACAGAGCAGAATATAGACAGATTAGTAGAAAGTAAAAAGAGAAAAAGGTATAAGAAGTATTTCTACACCCATCTCATGATGATTTCATTGAAAGATAAAAATATCAAAAGATTTACCCTCTTAATCATATATTCATCTAATATGGACAGTTCCTTACATTTAAAATATTAACAATGATGCCCAGTTACATCTTAATATCTGCATGTGCTGTTAAAATCAACATATCACAGTATATAGATGTAATGGGCAAATTTGCAGTCATTGATGTTCTATAACATAGCTGGATAACTTCAATTCTTGAATAAATCCACAGTATTCTTGTAATCATGTTGTCTCTTATGTTTCTAAACAACTTTTTTCAATTTTTAACAAAACAGCTGCATAGAATGTTGCAAATATATTGAAATTAAATCTGTGACATGTATTTTATCAGGTCATTAAGTGAGTTAGAAGCAGCTCAGATGGACTTTTATTTAGAAAATGCTTCGCTATGCAGGGAACAAAAGAAGGTAGTTAGTCAGAAGTTAAAAACCCTCACTGCACAGGAAGCGTTTTTCATAGCAGCAACTAAAAAATTATCACAGGATAATATTTCAAGCTTGCTGGACATTTTGACAGAGCAGTATGTTTTCTTATTATTCATCTGTATCAATTACTTGTTATTACTATTAAATCTAGCTGTTTGTTTTTTGTTTGTTTTTCTACTTAATAAAGTGATGATTGTTTATACAATCATGCCCTTATTTCACATATGAATATAAAAATTCACATCTTAATCAGTGCTTTTCAAATAGAAAGATCCTGTCTAAAATTAAGTAAGTGGTATACCTCTAGAAAATTAGAACATCTCATCAATAAATTACATTGCTATCAAGACTTTTTATATAAATCTGAAACTTTTTTTAATTTATGAAAGAGACTGTGTTGATTCCCTAAAATTGCTCTTCTGTATTACAGCAATAATTTGGCATTTTGATCACATTATAATTCTTCTGGCTTCTTTTTCTTCAGATGATGGATATCAATCAAATGGATGACACCATTACCAGATGGCAGTTGTTTTTATGTACCAAGACTTGTAATTCAATTTAAATCAGAGAATAAAATAAGAAGACACATGCATGTGTTGTTAACTGTTAATTAATTTTATATATTATATTTTCTGTAAAACAAACATACCAGTATAACAAATTATAAATACATGTTGATAAGGACAATATACTGCCAATGTGTGTTACCTTTAAAAGCATTCAATAACAGTTCTTAAAGACCAACAGTAAAAAACAAGAATGATCAGTGTTCACATGTGTCTACTTAGAAGCAGGTAACACTAAATTAACCACAGTCAAGTATTTATCCCACTGATTTTAATGAGGGGGATAACAATCTAATTGAAAAGATTAATGATTTGCTGGCGGTATTCTACAGCATTTGAATCTGGACTGCCTGCCAATGTTTCTTCATCTTGTTCAAAAACAATCTGGTTTTCTGGCAATGGAATGTTATTTTCCATGCACAAATTATGTAACCTGGCACATGCCAATACAATTTTGCAACACTTCCATGGCTTCTTGTATAGAACCCCACCTGTTCTGTGCAGACACCTAAAATTACAAATAAAGTTCTTTGCTGAAACTTCAATGATTTTTTCTACTAATCCTAGCAAGTTTCTCATTAAAACTTAAGTTAAAATGATTACAATTTTGCCTATAAATATTTTTGACATATTTTCAAAATTCATGGATGAGAGCCAGTTTAATAGATAATGTAAGTGATAACTTTGATGAAAGTGTCTAAAACTTACACAGCTATAAGTGTCTACAGCTGACACAGCTATAAGTACATGTACCTAAAACTTACACAACTGTAAGTGTCTATAACTTACACGGCTATAAGTGTCTATTACTTTATAAGTGAGCTATAAGTGTCTAAAACTTACACAGTTATTAGTGTTGAGCTATAAGTGTCTAAAACTTACACAGTTATTAGTGTATATAATTTACACAGCTATAAGTGTCTGTAACTTTATAAGTGAGCTATACGTGTCTATATCTTTCACAGCTTTGTCTATAACTTTCACAGCTAATCTACTTCATCAACCCTGTTTATATTTCTGTTAAATTATACAAACCTGAATCTTGACTTCAACATCCCAAAAGCTCTCTCTACAACCATTCTACCACTAGAATGAGCTTTATTGTAATCTGATTCCATTTGATTGGAAGGATTTAATAACGGTGTTAACAAGTGCTTCTTCAAAGCATATCCAGAATCCCCAAGTAGGTGGCCAATCTGATTCCTTTCTAAGTGAACCTATGAAGTTAAAGATAATTAGTTTCATATTTACATAATGGATATTAATTTTGAGGTGCTTTTTTCGTAGATTAATGCAAGGTTACAAATGCAAAGTACTTTAATCATAAAGGCTGGTTTATCAAAGTGATCAATAACAATGCATTTATAAATGACAAAAGTTAAACCAAGATTATTTTTAAGTGTGTAAGGATTCATGTTTCAGATAAAAGAAAATATTCTGAAAGAGTATAAATTTAAAGGTTAAACTGTCAAACCTAACACACATAGTATTTGTCTTACTACCCATGTGTGAAACATTATTTAACTGAACAAAATGCTTGTAATTTTTTATTGCATGAACAACAATAGCTTACTTATTAAAATAAACACATTGTTACCACTTACTTTAAGGGAACTGTTTTCAAATATAGAAGAATCATGGGTTGATCCTGGCCATTTTGAAACCATGTCTGTGAATCTGAAATTATTTTTCCAAGTTTAAAGATGCATGCCACCAGATGTGCCAAAAATTAAGCAAACTTAAGAAAAATGAACTGAGATTTAAAGAAATGTAAAAGAATTCAATATTCAAATAATAATGTACTTGTTATATGTGATTAATGACTGATTTTGCAATATTAAACTAAGGCAGAATTGTTTGTTTGTTTGGGGTTTTTTTTTGTTGATTTTTTTGTGATTTTTTTGAAAATGTTTTTTTTTTCAGAATAATTAATCTAGCATTTATATTAAGCTTCAATAACAGGAAGATGATGTTAAAAGTATCTGTCAAATGACAAAATATAAGACAGTAGATGTTTTTAAAAACATTTAAATTTTCAAATATTATTATACCATCTTACCTTGCCTTATGGTCAACAGTGGCCTGTACATTGATTCCATGAAAGCCCTTTCTACATACATATACTTCCTCATTTTCAGAAGGCGTGACAATTGGTATTAGAGTACCATCAATGGCTCCAACAGTATTGGGTATTTTACATTTTTGATAAAAACCCTGCTTCACATCAATTAGGTCTCTGCCACTTGGAAACCTTAATTTATATAACATAAGAAATTACATATACACATATAAACCTTGAAAGCTTGAACTCATGGTGCCCTTTTATCAACAAAGAAGGTTGTTACTGCATCCAATCAAATTAGAATGCTATAACCCAACCAAGGAATTAAAAAATTAAATATGCAGTTACAAAGAAGAAATAATATTCTCACAATAGTTTTTAAAGCAGAAATAAATAAATAGAAGTATTGTATTTTTGTTCTGCATGTCATACAATCAAATGATATGTTTTCATATTTCAGCATTTTATCAACTTATGGTATTTTAAGAGTTAATGATAACAAATTCACAATTTAAAGAAATTTAAAATATTTCATTGAACTGTGAGCTGACCTTTATTTTTATCTATTCTTAATTTTTGATTAATTCTGAGACCAATTCCCCTGTGACATCTACAACCATAGATTTTGTACTAGTACTATTATCCATGATAATCACTTATAAGTTTCAGCATACTAATATTTATGGATCATATTATTATAGTTCTATTAACAAGTAAGTTACTGGCATTAAGAAATGTAAGAATAATATGACATCTGTTACTTTTTTCAGTACATATCTTTATAACATCTTACCTTATATTGTCAAGTCTGTCATTAACAGCTTCCACAAATTTGTCAATAATATGGCAAGCACTGGATCTAAAATGTAGTTGGTTGAATTTGAAGGAAGCATTTACAAAATAGGAACATATGTCATACACAATAAATTTTGTTAAATGGTGTTGACTACACATTTAGGACATATTTGAAACTATTTGATTATTTATTAATAAGTTACCTTAAACAAAAATTGAAGTTTTGATATTAAAGACATGCCTCAGCAAATTAAAAAGCTTTTTTGTGTGCATTTGTAGCCTTTTTGTAAATGACTGCAATTCGAGTGTTTGCATTAATCAGTTTAAATGATATGAAACCATTTCATTTTGATTTTTTTTAAAAAGAGAAAAAGTTTATAATAACAGAAATTAAAGTTTTTCCCATCAAAACAAGATTTATTTTCATCTTGTGGTGTTTCACTCAAGGCTACTGCCTGTGACTCTTGAAATATTTATTTTCATACCACTCGATGAAAATAAATCCTGTATTTATAGAAGAAACTTGAATATCCTCTATTTATGTTTCACTAACCTGCTTACACCATGTAGGTCTGAAACCTCAGACAGCAAATCTCCTTTTGCCAGGTAACGCAAACCAATAAGTACCTTAAAAAGATACATGTATATTATTTATTTAGGTAGTAACTTTAAAAGCAGCTTAGCTAAAATCACTTGGGAACTCTTTACAGGCAATAATAGAACAACACAAAATTGTGTACATGATAACCTAAATTAATTGTTATACTTTTTCTAATTATATATTATCTATTTAAATTTTACCAAGCAGTTTATTTCAACATCACAAATTCTGTCATTCAATGTACAAACTACAGTGTACTTGGTATTTTTAAAGTCCAAGAATCTACCGGTACATGTATGTTGAATATATTAATTATGTTGAATAAAAATAATAATTCATGTCTGTATACATTAGTTAAACCCATGTGGAGGTGTGTGTACTGTTCTTTTTTTTTCTTTGTTGCTATTCTTTGTATTTTGTCACATTCTTTGAACAACGTTGATAATTATGTTTAATTTTTGTTATCATTTAATGTACATTATATGCCTGATGAGTGAATGAATACCGTGTTTCAACTGCAGCAGCCTAGTATTTATAGAAATACATGTACCGGTATGATATCCCATGGTATGATGGGGGAAACCCCAGTCAGATTATTTAATAGTTTTGTTTTGTCTTGCCAAAAAAATAGCAGTTTATATCTGTTTTTACAAGCATGTGACTTCACTTCATCAGGAAAAAAACCAATAAAACCTCCTAAATTAAGTCACATCCCTTGGTTCTAAAAATACATTTTACACTGTACTAGTAACTTGATCAAGTACACGATTACACTATTTGTACAAGAACAACTTACCTGCGTCAAAATAGGTATGGAGTGTGATCTATTTGTATCCTTCTCTAAATTTCCTCTCAAGATATTTACCAATCTATTAATACCTTCTCTTGTGAGACGATAGCGAGACAGAATCTCACTATCCCTCAAATGGTCGAGGCTTGCTCTAGTCCTGAACAATCGTGCTGCCCGTCTCTGGCGTACTTGTCTAGCGCCTTCAACAGTCGCCATTTTAAGATCTTAAGCAAAGGTCTACAAAAGAACATGCTTAACTAATTATAACAATCAAATTTGTTTGATAGCTTGACAATTAACACAATTATTATTGACAATTATTATATGTGACAAGCTCAGCGAGTTTTGGCCCAAATGTGATATCTGGTCGAAAATGGGTTATGACTAGTTTGTGGTAGAACAACATCGGCTGAATAGCTGGCAACAATTTTTTTTTTTTAAATACTTAACATTTTATGAAATATTCTAATTTGTATGAAATCACCATAACAACAAAAAATAACATTTTAAACTTTTATTGGTATATAAAACTAGAAATTATTCCATAGTTATACACAATAAAAGAAACAAAACATAAAGTTATCATTCATCTTGGTGTAATAAATGTAATATCTTGAAATAAAAACTATCATTTGTTTTCAATAATCGGTTGCCATGGCAACAAAAATCAAAAAAAATCATCAAATGCAATATTTTTGCATTTAACATGATTAATTTATCATCAAATTAATGCATATATTATTTTAAAAGACAACACTAATTAAGATTTTTCAGAAAAAGAAAAAAAAGGATTTTTCACTTTTCCCTAAGTGTTACTGATAATAAATATAAATGTAAGGATTAAATTCTCAGAATTTCAGTAACTTTTCCATGATTACTAATTTCATAACTTAAGTAAGTCCACTTTAAAACACATAGCTGTTGCATGATAGCATATAAATTATAAATCCAATACAAAACAGATAATTTTAATGCACTGATTACAAAAAAGTGTATTTTTGGTAGCCATGGTAACAAAAATATGCACACAAAAAAAAATCACAAAAAACTGTATGATTTAAAATAATGGCATCTTATAAAAAATATTCCATATAAAATAATTGTATTCATAATAATTTCAAAGGTCTTTCTGAAATTTAACCAAAAAATAGAAAGATCTTGTACTTGATTTTCCTGATTATATTTTTGACCATGTAACCATATTCTTATTGATCAGTGTATTTTAAATTGTATAATATGAATAACATTTTATATACATAATATATTTCTATGATGAAATAATTTCAATAAATAAAAACAATCATAATAACAGATTTTTGCAAACACATGGAAAGTCACAAATGACAGATCACTTTTGTCCTTGAATGAAGTCTTGCAACCCCAGTTTGAGGGTTTGAGCCAAACAGGGTAATAACAACCATGTCTCCTCATATGCCTTCAGTTTTTGTAAGCAGAAAAATAGTGATTCATAAACTTGCATAAACTTGTTTCACAATGAAGTAAAAATATTGTAGCATCTGCCACTGCAGTTTTCAGCTTTTCAGGGATACTTCTGAAGACATTAATTCTATGAGAATGTAATTCACTTTGGTATACTGTCAAACATAGGTCTTCTACAAGTCATTGACTCCTCACATGCCACCCTGAAATAACAAAAAACCTGAATAAGTATAAATGAAACAATATATTGTAGATATAATAATTTGACTCCACAGAAATGAACTTCAACTACAAGTAAATTGTTGTATAGTGTTGCACAGCTATTTGGTTCAAAAAGGTCTTGTTCATGTAAGTTCTTGTGTAATATATAATATTACAGTATATATATCATGTGTACACAATCATGTAGCAGTTACATTCATCTTGAACATGACTAAAATAATCTGAATCTACATTATATGCATGTATTGTGGTGATGTCACTTCACTATTTATTTCACTAAATGAAGAATTTAATATGGAATACTGCATATAGATACATGTATATAGAGGATATTCAAGGTTTGTCTATAAATACATGATTTTTTTTCATCGAGTGGTATGAAACTAAATATTTCATGAGTGGCGGTAGCCACGAGTGAAATATGGTAATTTTCATGCCACAAGATGAAAATAAATCATGTATTTATAGAAAAAACTTGAACTTTCTGTTTATTATAAACATTTTTCTTTTTTTTAACATTAAAATTTGAATGACTTTCCCTTAAATTTTGTGTAATGGCGGAATTTAAAAGAAAGTAGTCCGTCAAGAAACCAGTGAAAATACGGAAAATATGTTTCACTACAGTGAAAAATAAATTTTTAAGGTGAAAATACGAAAATGAAAATACGCATTTTATTTCATCAATATTTCTCAATATTTCAATTGTAAGTATATAATAAATACATTTATTAATGCTTACCCAATTGAATTGCTTTTTATCTTAACCAGTACTGTGCAGTTGATACTAAGTTATTGTCTTTTTTACTCCATAACCCTGGTGCTCAATAGGGCATAGATGTCACACATACTGCCTCATTTCCAGCAATAGTTTAGTATATTCATCAGCAAATAGGTGAACTATCTATGTGTTCTGAAAATTATGTACAAAATTTATACTGTATGTACTTTTTTAAGAGCTTAACATTAGTTTCAATACATTAATGACACTCAGACAGTATTTGCATAAAACAATAAAACATTATTTCTAAATATAAACTTAAAAATGTAGTTCCTGTTACTGTACATAGTTATTTAATTTTAAAACAAAATTTTTAACATCTTATCAGACATCATAATTATATAAAATGCTAAATTGCAAAAAAAGTTACATTGCTTTCAACCAACTGCAATTCAGGAAATTTATCATTATCATTATTAGATAAAAAGTGTTGAGAATGGTCAGTTCATGATTATTATTTATATATGTATACAATGATTACAATCATCTATAGTAAATCATTTGATCATTAGAACCAGTATCAAAACATTTACCAGTACATTTCCTTGTGGTCTTGAAGAATATGTCTCCAACATGCTGGGTATTATCTACTTTACATTCTTTAATGTATGTTGGCTGACCTAAAATTACAACACAAAATATTTCATCAGCAAAAAACTACTGGCTCATAAATGATAGAAATACCCTGGTAGCAGGGCTTCTGTTAATAGAAGTTTAGGACTAGGAGTCATTTCTCCTTGATTTTGGCTTCCAAAATGTTATGCTTTTCCTTTTTCACCTGTATTGTCACAGACACTTGGGGTTTGGAGCTCAAAACGCCTTTAAAATCCAAATAAAATGCATATTTGTCAATCCCAGCACATGTACTAGACTAGTACTGATCATATATATCAAAAGAACTTAATATAAGCCGTTTTGAAAAAAACGTTATATGTCCAGTTGCATTTTTATCCCAGTGGCAGTGATGTGGAAAAATATTATAACAGAAATGTTTTGTTTTATCACCTGTTTAATATTTTCATTTCAGCCTGGACTTTAATTTATTTTAATAATGTAATCAATGTATAATTTAGAAAAAAAAATAACAATAAATTTCTATAAATACCGTGACAAATACAAATCGAGTGCAATAAACATTGTCTGTCATGACCTGACCTAGATGCCTGCCATGTTTTTTTTATTTATAAACCAGTTCAAGTACAGTAGACATGGTCTTGTTAATTAATACTAAATAGTAAAAATACGATGATATTCAACATATCAGACAAAGTAATGAAAAAAAATAGCATAAATAATAAAATGTGCAGCAGCACTTACCTTAATATTTATTTAAACCTCCAAATATGTAGTGACGTACTGTAAACGGTACTGTAGAGAATCAACATGTGTTTACTCGCTGACCTGACTCCTGAGTTTACACAGTGCATTTAGTCTAAATATAGATTTTTGGGAAACCAATACATGTTTATCGTGCGGAGGCTGAGAAGGGGCTGATCAAAAAGTATTTTTGATTTTTTTCAAGTTTATTTTTAAAAAAAACTCTGTTTTGAAAGGAAACCCTAAAAATTAAAACATGAAAACTCGCGTGCCTTTGCCAGCGTTTTTCTCACAATAATTAAAAACTCAATTGGGCAAAAAATCGCTGAGCGCGTCACATATTTATTATTATTTATATATGTTCTGTCCGAAATCTGCACTGTCCGAAATTTCTGTACTAAAATATTTCGAAACGAAATGTAGGAAACAGTATATAGAAAATTGTAAGAATCATTTGCTTATCTGGCTACAGATTTTATAGGAGTTTTATTAAACACACATATATACGTCGGATGTACTATAATAAAAGAAATACAACTATCAATAGCTTCTTCATGGAAATTATCAACAGATTAAACTAGTGATAGTTGCGTCCCTTGGATGTTAAAATAGTTTTAGCACTGAACATAAACATGTACGCAAAAAACTTACGTTAGTTGTAAACTTCTATTGTTCAAATATTTCTGCTTGAAAGACTTTGTCGGGAATTATGCGAAAATGGCCGCCATTTTTAAGATCTTAAGCCTACTTACGACTGGTCTGAAGCAGCCTTAAAGTTACGACGTAAATCTACGACGTCTTAGCTACGACCTTGTTGATAAAACGCGACGTAGACGTAAGATCGGTCGTACGACCAAATCTTAGCTACGACCGGGCGTACGACCGTTGATAAAACGGCACCCAGGTCTGGTGTGCCTAAATGCGATTTATCACATGTTTGACGTCGCGGGAGTGTAATAAAGCCATTGCATATTTTCCATATTACTTAGAGGTTATTATACAGGGCAAGTGTGCCTGAAGGAAGATATCGGCACACTTGGTTAGGTATTGGCCCGAGGGCTTTAGCCCGAGGGCCAATGCGGACCAAGTGTGCCGATATCTTCCTTCAGGCACACTTGCCCTGTATCATAACCTTTTTATTGCATATGTAGACACTCAATTATGTTATTCTTCTAAACAAAGTTTAATGTTTTATCTCCATACTGTTTTCTAACAAATCGTGTCTATTTTCTTCACATTTTCCGTTCGCCACAAACATTTGTATTTTAAATATCTGCTCATTAAATTTCTATAAAATCATATAAAAATGTGCAGAAATTTAATCTTTATCTATCCTGTTGCGTGTTATGCTGATAAGTTAACTATAAGTTATATCTTGAGCGCTCCAACGTCAAAACTTGTTTACGTCAACCGGACGTGACGTCATGATATGGATTTTTGGCACACTAGCAAGTGTGCCGATATCTGGCACACTTGCTCAATGCATGCTTATATCGGCACTCTTTGGGCAATATCAGCACACTTCCTTAGCATTTTGTTACTATTTATAGTAACAAATGCAATAAACTAGTATAATATCGTTTTGACGTCGACGTCATTTAACGTTAGCGGACGTCGCTTGATTTTACCGCGTTTATAAGGCAAAATAACAACAATTTTTCGGTTTATCGGCTCCAAAATTTAACCTGTGATATGAATAAAATAATAAAATGCTCGGCAGAGCCTCGCAATTTATTATTTTATCCAACTCGTTTAATAAATTCAATATGAAAAGACACTCATGTAATATCCTCTATATTGGCCTACGAGACCGCTAAAGCCCTCGGGCCAATACCTCTTCTTGGCCAATATTGCATTCAGACACACTAGACCTGTGTAATAACCTATAAATACGCAACGGCAAACACTATAAATAGAAAAAAAATGTGAATTTAAACGTATATTAGTTTTGTCCATGTAATATGACTGTGGTCAGGTGACGTGATGCGCCAAATATCGATATCGGTCCGACTTCCGGTTGGGCCGATATCGATTTCCCACTTCGGGTTGCTAAAAAAACGCGGAAAGATTGACAATTTTATAAGAAAAAATACGTTTAACTGAAATATATCTTGATAAAAAAGCAAAATTGAAGAAACACTTGAAAAAACAATCTCCAAACAGTTAAATAACGCCAAAATATATTAAAAACAAATGTTTGTGAGGAAATGACGTCAACGTCATTAGACGACGTCAAAAGTCCCTCGCTTTTTAAAATAAATTATACATTGTCGCTGAACAATGTTTTCAAACGATTTTTTTAATTCTATAATGAAAACCAAAACATAAATGAGCACATGCAATAAAAAGGTTATAGAACAGGTCTGGTGTGCCTTAATGCGATATGGGTCTACAAGATCGGTATTAGCCCTCGGGCTCTTTTAGTGGGCCAAAATCGAATAAAGGCACATCAGACCTCTGTAATAACCTATAAATATATCCCGCCTCTAAACCAATGAAAATTCGTGAACTTTATTAGCAGTATTATAATTGCGGCTAGTATTGTGCAATGTGAGTTTGCTTTTAGTCTTCTTGGAATCCATGTTGTTATTCATTACTTTATATTCTAGCATAAAACTGCCGTTATAACCATGATTTCGGGTGTTTTAACAGGACCAAAAAGGGTCTTTTAACAAGGAGATTCTAGCGCTCATGCGCTGTTTAAAACACCTTTTTGATATACGTTTTCCGTGGCACAGCGTCAATACATTGTGGCCCGGACGCTGCTTAACTAAAACGGAAATGACGTCACGGTCACATACAACGCTGACGTTCCCGTGCAATCCGAGGAAAATCAGTGATGTTGCTTGATTGTGTATGGATTGTGTTAGATTTATGCATGCTTTATGCTAGAATAGCGTTAACGAATGATTGTTCCGTGTCATAACAACTGCTGAAACCCTCGGGATACGTTGGGTCGGGTACCAACTAATCCCTTGGGTTTCTACAGATATTTTAACACGAAAAAAGAAACATGCGTTATTCCTATATTATATCAGAGTTCTTTAGTACTGACGGCTCATCTAGGGTTCAATATGGCGCGGTTCATATAGTTATTTTACCAGTAATATCTATAAAGGAAAGGGTTAAATGAGAATCATGAAGGAAGTTGAATAAATAAACTTAAAGAAAACTTAACATTTCTTGTAGAATATGATTGGTCTTGCGAAGCTATAATTACACGAGGTCATTCAAATATCTTGCAAGCAAATTCGCTGAATTAATGTTTACCGCCGACAGCATCATATACTGATTGAAAATTAAACAATTGCAGGATACATTTCGAATAAAGACTCCGGGGAAATAGTCGGTTAAAGCATAAATTATCAGGGCCCATATCACTCAAGGTCACGGCGATAATGCACATGCCCTTTTTGTATTGAAGGTTCCCACACAATTAAAATTAGATATATTTAACATTTGAAGACATGAAATACTTAAGTTATCTGACTGAATATTAAGCAACCAGGGGTCTTAACTTCGGGTAAGTGCCGTCAATATACACATCTCCGCTTGGTATTAGATGTACCCACATAGTTTTGTTTAAATTATTCAGCAGATTTGTTGAAGAATAGGGTTGAATTAATGCTTTTCTATGAACAATAAATGATAATAAATTATGGATCATAACTCTGTATTAAACGGCCAAACGGGAAATACTGATGATGATGATGATGATGATGATGATATGCACATCTTGTTTGTTTGTTTATGTGTTTATCTAAAGTCGCCGCCGGAAAGCCCATATAAGCGACCGTACCCTCAAGTCGGACCAAATCCTTTAGTGTCCCGTCGAGATTTTTCGAGATGCGCATCTCCTCTTTATATTAAACTAAATTTCGTTGAAATTCCTAGAGCGCAGAAAAGCAATAGTTCTATATACAGTGTTTTATAAATAACAACAACAACAAGGGGCAATAAGTCTGTTTTTAAAAAGAAATGGAGATATGCTGGTTATATGTGCAACTGGTTTGTGAATGAAGGTTCCTACAAAGTTGCAGCATCGATATCCATCCAGAAGTTGCTGAAAAATAGCGTGGAAACGAAATGATTCCATATACAGTGTATAATAACTAATCAATGGCCGGATAGTGCGGAAACTAAATCTGGACTGACAGGCGGACGAACACGCTAAAACAGTCCCATCACTCCCGATTTCATCAGCGGGGGAGGGGATAAAAATGTCTGTAGTTTTAGTTCCAATAATTGATTTCAGTCCTAAAAATTTGTGACGTTTGTGACTCAGTGAAAAGCATTGAAGAAAACAATATTTATCTCAAATTTGTGACATTTGTGATTTTAAACTCGTGACGAATGTGATTGTCTAAAACATTGGATCACATGCATCACAAAATTTGTGACGAATGTGATCTCATTCTTCACAATTGTGACGAATGTGATTTGTGACACATGTGGCCTTACACTGCTTGCAGAAGAACTGATTTGGCGATAGTTTTTGCCATTGATTTTAGCAAGACACGTACAACAGTTTTTAACCGTGGGCGCTGCCATATTGTTTCTTATTGTTTTTTACCTCCACTGTTGAAGAATATAGATTTGTTAAACGCGATGTCATTGGTAGATATTTTACGCACCTGTTTCTGTATATCGACGCAAATCGATTCAATTTACCCACGGTTGATTGCATGTTATGTGACATGTTTATCAATCGTGGGTATCCGACGATGGTAATTACGAGGCCAATAAACTTCTGAACTTACATATACATGGGAATAATTAAGTTATATGCTAGTCCAATATGCAGTTTAAAGAATTTAATTATGTTAAAGTTACAGAGCCAGCTTAAGGAATACTTATATGAATGTTTGACCTACAGTAAAAGGCCAATATATTTGTGAAAGTAAATGTGAATATACAAGTTATAGACTACTCTACTTGCCAGTGAATTATAGTTTTTAATTTATTCATAATTTTGTATAAACTGTAATATATGGTGTGGTGTAATTATTTGTCAGTCTTTTTTTACGATGCAGGCGTCGTATTTTAAAACAATAATGTTACATAATGATTAATTAAACTTTTTTATGAACAAAAATTACTCTAGCGTTGTTTAATATTTCATGTTTTCTCTCTCTCTCTCTCTCTCTCTTTGGTTAAAGACTGAACGTATATGTACTACTAACTAAAAGCTATATTTTTAACCCGTGTTAAACTACGGGTTCATCACAAGCGAACAAACTGGACTGGGTCTGTTTATAACTAACACGCATTTCGAAGAAAAAAAGATTAAAGACAAGCCGTAATAAGAACTTGTCCTTCGTGCACAATAAATTACTCCTGAAGGATTTCTTAAATTTGTAAGTCGATATTTTTCGAAAGTAGTGGAGCGAAAGGGCAAGAGATGGAGCAAAAGGTTCGATGTTGAGCGCAAGGCGATATTATTTTGACGTATTAGGAGGAGCGTAGTCTATGATTTTTTATATATAAAAGCTATAGAAGTTAAAATAGACGTGATCAAGTGTTGAGACCGATATATATATATACCTTTTAAAGACAACTAATTAAGTGTGATATCCTTTCAACGACTATAGCGTAATAAATGCAATCGCGGAGGTCATTG